TTATAAAGGCAGCAGAGGAGGTGATATTTATACCACAGGAAATGGCAATTACTACAAATCAGAGCTCTTCTGTAGTTGTTACAGTTAGATTAATATCTAGTTTTGCGACTGCATTCTATTTGTTGCATTTGTTCTTTGTTTCTTTGCCCCTGTTTTTCTGCCTTTTTTGGTTTTAATTGAGCAATAATTTTTTTCTTCTCTTCTCTTAACATATGAATTATTCTTTTAAAAAATTTTTTTATTGTTTGGCTTGGAGTTTCAAAAATATAGCTTTAACTAACCTAAATCTATCTTTAAATATTACTGTATTGCTTTATGTATACAACAGATACTATATAACAGAAAATCCCCTATTCCTCCATTTTTTTCCCTGGCTCATTTCTTGTATTTATATACTATAATGACTGAATACATTATTACTATTATTACTTTAAAAAAGTTATCTTTTAAATAAATTAAGAATCAAAATTTTCAAAATTTAATTGACTTGCATTTATGCCTTCTCTGATGGTCTTCTTTTCTTCATGTACATCTGATCTCCTTCACTTTTGAACAATAATTTTGCCAGATATAGAATTCTAGATTGCCATGTTTTTTCTTTCAATACATTTAAGCATTTCATTTTATATTCTTCTTTCTCTTGTTGCCTCCAATGTTCTTGACAAAAAACTCTACAGTGATTCTTGGAATTGCTTCACTATATACAATACAATATTTTACTTTCCTCTGACTTTGATCAAGACTTTTCTTTGACTTTTCTGCAGTTGGAATATAAAATGCCCAGATACGATTTGTTTTTCAGCATTTATCGCGGTGGAAAATATCTGACCTTCCTGCATCTGAGGTTTTGGCTCTGGTTAGTTTTAAATATTTCTTGGCAATTATTTCTCCAAATACTGATACAGGAGATGGAAATAAATTATCTTAGGCAGATAGTGAGGGCAAAAGAGTCCTCGGCAGAATTGCCCTTCTAAAAAAAAGCAGCCCAAAAATCACTTATTTTCTAATAAAGAGCAGCCTGAAAGATCGAACTGCAAACATAGAGAAGGTAGCTAGGAGCTTCTACAGGGGGATGCTGGCAGTGCCAATAGAAAGGGCTACCTGGTGCGAGGCATATTCACCACGGGGCTCCACCTTCCCTTTTTTGTTAGCATGTGTACGTTAAGAAAGAAATAAGCAACATGGAGTAGCTATCCACCTGCATAATAAAAGACGGGACTAAGGGCAGCCAGAGATTCGGGCCCTATGCAGATGGCACAGCTGGTCCTAACCAGTTTTACACAACCTATGTAGGTCAGACACCATCTCCCCTATCTCATCTATAAAAATCTCTGCATTTCACAGCAGATCCGCAACCCATTTTTCCAGGATGCTTCTCTGTAGCAGAGAACTATTCTCTTTCTTTTGCCTGTTAAAATTCAGCTCTAAACCTCACCCTTTGTGTGTGTCTGCATCCTTGATCTCTGTGGCCATGAGACCAAGAACCTCAGGTGTCATGCCAGACAAAGAGACCAGTTCAGTACTTTTTATGCTTCCTTCTTTCTTTCCTTCTGACTTTTCAATCCTACCACAATTATTAGATATTCTGAGGGCTGGAGGGCTTAATACTTTTTTCCTTTGCATTTAGTTTGGGAAATTTCTATTGATCTATCTTCAAGGTAACATTCTTTTCTAGATTGTGTCTGGCCTATTGATTATTTTCTATTTCTATTGCGATTATTTCACTTCATACATTTTTGTTTGATTTGTCTCTTAGTGTTTTCTTCTCTCTGCTTATCTTACTCATCTGTTATTGCATACAGTCTACTTTTTCCATCAGAGCTCTTAATACATTAATCACAGTAACTTTAGATTCCCTGTCAGCAAATTTCCACATCACAGTCATATCTGAGTCTGCTTCTAATGCTTCTTTTGACTCTTCAGACTCTATTTTTCCTTGTCTTTAGCATACCTGGCTTTTTCTTTTTGTTGTTGTTGTTGTTGTCAAAAGGAAGATATATATGATCAGGTAATAGGAACTGAAATAAATAGACCTTTAGTGTGAGATTTTTTGTTAGTCTGGCTAGGTGCTAAAACGTTATTTACCTTTTGTCCTAGATGTAGGTTCCAAACACTTCAGAATCCTTTACTGTCCTTTTTGTCACTCCTCTTGACTTTGAACTTCCCTGAGCATCCTCCTCAGAGAGTCAGTCTACCAGGAATAAGCAAGAAAAATAGTGGAGGATAATATAAACGACCAGTATCAGGAAAGTAAAGGGATAACACTGCAGATATTAAAATGGTAATAAAATAATATTATGAACAATATTAGGCAAATAAGTTTGTTTACTTACTTGCGTAATTTCTGTAAAACACAAATTTGTTACAGAAAAAATTCCCATGAAACACAACTTACCAAAACTGTCTTGTAAGGAAATAAAACAACTAAATATTTTTATATCTATTAGAGAAAGAGAAGTTGTAACAAAAATCTTTCCGTAGTGAAAGTTTTAGGAATAGACACTTTATGAATTCTATCAGACATTTGAGGATAAAAGTTTACCGTGTCTATACAATCTGTTTTAGAAATGCCAGTTTGCTGTCACACCCAAATTAAAGATATTACACAGAAACTAAAACAAAAGTCAATTCTCACATGAAAATAAATGTAAAAACACTTTTGAAATATTGAAAAATTATACTTACCAATATACTTATCAATATGATAAATTATAATGCATCATTAAAAGTGTTTTATCTCGGGGATGTAAGATTGATTCAACATTTAAAACTCAATCACCCTTCCCTCTTCCTTGAGAAACAGAAAACTATTTACTTGAGAGACAAAAGGAGAAGGCACCTGATTCAGGTGGCCGACGGTCATGAATGCATAAAGCAATCTTGCTAACGGAGGCTCCCATACAAATGGGTTTTGTTCTGACTCTTAGGGATAGAGAAAGGCTTTAACACTCTGCATTTCCATTTCCCTCTCTGAGATCACAAAAATTATCACAAGCCTTTATCCTTGGGTTTACAATGGACTTTAAAAGTCCCAAATGTGGTTTGTTGGTGTGATTGCTGTTAAGAGAAAAGCTTCAGCTGAATTAAATTTAAAAGAGTTTAATTGAGCAACGAACGATTTGTTATTCAGGCAGCCTCCCAAGCCAGAGAAGGCTCAGAGACTCCAGCACAGCCACATAGTGAAAGATTTATGAAGAGAAAAAGAAAAGTGAGATACAGAAAATGGACATGAGATAGAGAGCTGGATTGCTTATAGCTCGGAGTTTGCCTTATTTGAATGCGGTTTGAACAAGCGGGCCACATTTGATTGGCCAGAACTTGGTGATTGACCCAAGAGTATACTACAGTCCATTTACACTTCCATTTAGGCCATCATTCACGCTGCATGAGAAACCTTTAGGCCGAACTTAGAATATGTAAGAAGCCAGCTTTAGGCTAACCTTGATTTAACATTGCTCTTCTACTTACTTTTGCTTTTCTCTTTAGAGGCTTTCTGCTGTCTCCTAGACTGATGACAGGGTACAGACTGACAAACATTTTCTGTAATAAGCCATGCAGCAAAATCTTTACACTCTGCAGCCAGATGTGCTCTTTTGCTTGTCAACTCTTCATTGCACCATGAAGTAGACATTGACAACGCATAAGTGAATAATCACAGCTGTGTTTCAATAAAATTTTACTTACAAAAGTGGATGGTGTGTTAGTATTGTCCCATAGGCAGTAATTTACTAACATCTTGGTTAGAATATTAATCTGGTGGGAACGTTTCCTGAGGACTTTGAATGAGCATGGGAATTAGTACTTCAGATGATAAAGTAATGCAGGTTCATCCAGACTTTTTCCCCCTTATCAGGATCTCTTGTATGTTCTATTAATGCGCTTTCTGTGTGATGGCACAAATTGCAAATTATTGCCCACTGCTTCAGAATCAGTACAAATGCACATTTTTAAAGCATTTCTTTGCTCCATCTATTACAATTTTATCTGCACAGTATGGATTACGGAGCAATTTTCTGAACTGTCTTCGGTGACAGTAATTTGTGTGTTGTATGCTGGAGTCCTAACCAAAGGCACTACTCTGCATGAAATTATTACCACAAAGGGGAGAGAAAAATGTCCTGAAACACGATAATTTCTACCAAGTTTCCTCTACTCTCTGACCTTTGAATTGGGGTAACCTGACCTTCCTAATATCCCTCTCTACCTATTATGTTAAAACCAACTCAGTGTCTCCACATTAACAGCACATAAACCTATAAAACCATGAACACTCAAAGGTATTTTTGTGACCACTCTTCCAGATCCTCCTTGCTTTTTCTTAACTTACTTTTGCTTTGATAAAGTTATCATATGTTTCCAAATCCAGACTTCAACTATCCTCTCCGTGACCCCAGTTTGTACTAAGATGATCAGCTTTCTTCTGCTCCAAGATGGCCTCAGATCATTTGTATTATTTGTGAAGGAAACCAAAAATACTTCTCAAAATACTTAGGACTATTAAGTTAAACACACAGAAAATGCAGGGGAATATGCTGCCTCAGGCACTATTTGCCTGATGGCAGGACATAAATCCTTATTTACTGGAGAAAGCACTTGCTTTTCAGCCCAGAGAAGGCACCACCAGAAACTTGAGGAATCTGGGAACATCCCACATTTTCCCACCTTTAAATGACTGGGACTGCTTTCTCCTTTGCTTTTCACTGTAAAGGATTTATGGCTCTTTATTGAAACACTATTTAAACAAGGTTTCTAAGCCACAGCCTGGAGAGAGAAATACTTTTGAACTGAGGCCTATCCCTTGTGATAAGTAGAGCACACATTAATAAACTGCTTGTTTTTCTCGTTAATTTGGCGTTTTCAGGAGAGTGTCAGCTAAAAAGGGAAATTTAAAAAATATATAAAAAAATATATATGTTTTCTCCCCTACAGCTATATCTGGGGCCCCACTTTCCACTCACAGCCACATCCTGCTTGCAGATCTGCTGCTGGGTTAACACAACATCATCTGCCAGTTGGTGTCATTTATTTGACATCTTGGGGCTACAGTACTCTGAAGGACACCCACTGCCCTTAACAGAAAAAATACTGCTGAGAAAATGGTTTAACAGGACTCTCACCCTACCAGAAGTTCAGTGCATTTTCCAGGATTTTCAAGGCTTCGATGTTGTCATGTTGCGAGCCCACTATCCACTTGTGTTTTTCCATGAATAATGAAGAAAACGTGAGTAGTCATGAATCTAATCATTGAGGTTAAGTAACCTAGTCATAGTCAAGAGGACAGCTAGTGTTAAACTCCTTCATATATATTTGAGAAAGGATTTATATATTGGTAATAACTTTCTGATATGGAAAGCCCTAGGTTTGTCAACTATTAATAACTGGGTGAATGCTTCAGGTAGTATTTAAACCAATTGCCATTTCATAGCAGACATTCTCCCATGCAGGAGATGCAGTAAAGTACTGGTAGCAATAGATGCTCCTACCAAGATCTCCTCCTGCAACTGCCACTCTGTGCACAGGAAAGGAGGGAGAAGAAGCCGCCTTGCTTCGTCTTATATTTGACAATCATTCATCGGAATAGAGGTCCCTAATGACTCACATGTAAATCTACTGGCTAAGAAAGTTCTAAGGTTGGAACTCCATTCAGATATCAACATTTGTAAGAAAAAAAAAATTTAAATATAACTTTGATATAAATTTTACTTTGATAAGATATCTACAGGAAAGAAACTGTTCATTTTCTCTAACAGGATGGAAAGCGAAAAACACTGGTGAGAGGTGGGAGGAGTCTGCACATTGTTTCACAACTCCTCTCTCCCTAGGGCAAAGCAGAGTGTGAGGAAGCCAGTACTAGTCAAGTGAAGCGACTCTAAGGACGGCCATTTTCCCTTACTGTCTTTGAAAATACTTCATTTTCTTAGCATTTCAGGAGATTATAACATCCGGTATTTCAGTTTCTGAGAGCTTTGCTGATTGATCTTCCTACTCAAAACAATCCTCATTTCCTACATTTCTGAAGATCTCAAGATCTGGACTACTGTTGAAGAAATTTCCAGTAAGGTGAGTACTGTGCGTATTTTTGTAGAAAAGATCTAGATGTTTCCTTGAAATCCACAAAATCACAAGGGAAAAATTAATATTGGCTCTTCAGAGCAGTGGGGTGAAGGGAGTAGAGCTGGTATCAACTATATTCAGAAAAGTGAAAACTGCAGTTACTACTTCCAATTCTTTACTTACTTCAGAGATAGTAGATATCCTTTATTCTACAACTGGGGCACAAATGAAGGAATATGCATTTTGATCATTGCAGATTTTAAAACAAATTCTCTGAGTATATATTCTCTGAGGTTAGAAAGCGTGGTGGCCACAGGGGTCTAGGCAAAAGACAAGATAATGATTTCATTCTTTTTTATGGTTGCATAGTATTCCACACTGTATATGCACAACATGGATATAGCTGGAGAATATTGTCTTAAGTGAACTAACACAGGAATACCAAATACTGCATATTCTCACAAGTGGAAGCTAAACATTGAATCCATATGGACACAAGATGGGAACATTAGACACTGGGGACTACTTGAGAGGGAAAGGTGGGAGCAGTATGTGTGTTAGAAGGCTATCTATCCGGTACTATGCTCACTACCTTGGTGATGGGATCATTGTACAACAAGCCTCAGCGACACACAGTTTACTCATTTAACAACCCTGCACATGTACTCCCTGAACCTAAAATGAAAGTAGAAGATAAAATAAGACAAGATAATGTGGTGCACAAAGTATCAGGAAATAATATTAAGTAAAAAAGACATCTAGATGTAGAGCTGTGTTTTATGGTATTATCTCAATTTTACAAAACATGTTCTCACACACAAACGTATGTGAGAACGTTTCGTAAGTAATATTATTCTACAAATGAAAACACAGTAGAAAATTTATCCATTTTGCAAACACAATTATTCAAATAATTTGTGTCAATATTTTCATAAGTATGTTTAACTTTTACATAAGCATCGTTCTACACCAGGTGTAAAAGGCAGTTTTTCAGTCATTTTAAGATTACTTCCTGCCCTCCTGAAAGTTAATGATTTTTTATTTTTCTAGTGGCAATGTATAGGAGAGAGGCAGGGAAGTCAATTTGAAATAGATTTATATTGCAAAGTTTAGAATTTTTAGAAGTCTTTCTGTATAGCCTGGTGCAATATTTCAGTGTACTTGACTAGAATATGAGATTTTAAATGTTGATTTCAGAATTTATATATGTTAGATAAATACTGCTATCAATTATGTTGCTCAAATTTGTAAAAATGTTATGTTTTTACTTTGTTCATTTAGTATTGGAAGATATAAAAACTCCTATTATAAGACGGTATTTTCTTGTACTTCTCTCAAATTCATATATATAATATATAGATATGCTCATATGCATATATATAATGTATATTACATGTGGTATGTGATCATGCATACATGTTTCTAAACATAAACATACACATATAAATATATATATTTGTGGCAGTGTGTGTACATATGTGTGTATATGAAGATAAATATATTATATAAAAATATATTATCATGAAAGACTATACAATAATGAAAAATAATATACATTTATTATTATTAGATAAATCTATAATTTAAATTATTGTATCTTCCCAGGAATTCACCCTTTTACCTTGTGGTATCTGATAATACTCTTTGTCTTAAGATCTTTTTTAAAATGATTCTAACATAGATAAGCTGGCTTTCTTCTAGTTTCCCCTTGCACGATAATTTAAGTTTCTTTTTCACTTTTCAGTGATCTTTCACTGACAACATACATATAGAAATTTTAAATCAAATTTGATAAAAGTTGTCATTTAATTAGTTAAGCTCTTTACGTATAGCCTAATAATTAACATATTTTGGCCTGTTTCTGCTATCTTCACTTCAATTTATAACTCTTCTATATTCTCCTACTTGTCTTTTTTTTTAAACTTACATTTCCATCTCACCCTCTAAGACAATTACATTAGTAAACTGTCACATTCTTTTTCTTCCCTCCCTCCACCATGTTGGTATACTTTCTGTTTCTCTTTTCTTTGATCAGGGCTTTGTTTTTAAGACATAGGCATACATAATCAAGTTCGTTTTTCATTCTTACTCGTCCTTTGGCCTGCAGCTTTTTAAAATTTTTTTTAAAATTTTCCATTGAAAAGTACTTCCAAAAATGTTTCTGTGTGCATCTTTGTCTGGAAAAACTACTAAGGCCTTGAGGTTCAGAGAATAGTTTTGAGGATCTTTTGTTTAAATATCATTTTGTTTAGATTGAAATTCTAGTTTTAAAAATTATTTTTTCCTTCAAGACAAGATGAGAGCATTTCTTTTGTACCTGGGAGGCTCGATATGTTTTGAAAATCAGAACTTGGAGGTTTAAAAGATTACTTGATGCACATTTTTCTAGAAACCCCAATGTTATCAGTGTCATTACTGCAAAAACAAAAGCACTAATATTTCAGCATCAAAATACATGAATATTTGTGTTTAAGTGGAATAAATAAAAATCATACATAGCCTCCTGTAATCTCACATCTGGTTTCATTTTGCAAGTTAATTGTGTTGTCATACTCACAAAACAAATCAAAACTTCCCATTTCTAAACTTTTTGTTTAGCAATTTATATGGGATTTTGGACCAGCATTATATAAAAATGATTCCATTCTCCTGTTTCAAGTAGATTTGTTGTTGAGAATCAGTTTCAATCTAATTTTTGGATCTTTGCAGGTGATATATTCTTCATTCTCAGAGGCGTATGGAGTATTTATTTGTTTTTTATATGCTTCAGTTTGACTATATGTCTTTGTATAGATTTTTTCCTTCATTCTATGCTTTTCAATCTAAGGACACTCATGTTCTCTCAAGAAGAAAGCAATTAACAGCCCCAGGAATTTAAATATCTTAATTACATAAGAGGTACACAAATACATGCTTTCTATAATTAAAAAACATGTTTGTTTTGGTATTTGTTTTTATTGAGATGGAGTTTTGCTTTTGTCACTCAGGCTGGAGTGCAGTGGCATGATCTCTGCTCACTGCAGACTCCACCTCCCAGGTTCAGGTGATTCTGTTGCCTCAGCCTTCCAAGTGGCTTGGATTACAGGCACCCACCACCATGCCTGGCTAACTTTTGTACTTTTAATAGAAACAGGGATTCACCATGATGGCCAGGCTGGTCTTGAATTCTTGACCTCAGGTGAACTGCCTCCCTCGGCCTCACAAAGTGCTGTGATAATTTAAAAAGGAATTAGGAATCCATAGCATGCTTTGTGTGTCATCATGTGCTAAAGTGCACTGGCGCTAAAGAGGTCCAGAGGAGTAATACTGTGTCCTTAAGGGGACTCTGAAAATTTCTAGAAGGCAAACTCTCAGTTGAGTCTTAAAGGTTGTAGGAGAGGTAGTTAGAGAGAGGAATGTGGGAATAGCTTTCCAGGCAATGAGAAGAGAATTAACAAAGTCATGAAGCATGAAAATGTTTTATACTTCTGAATCATAAGATATAAGGAACACACAAGTGCCAGAAGTTTAAAAAAGAAAAAAGAATGCAGATTATTCAAAGTTTTCTGAAACCAATACAAGAAGCAAGGAATGTATTGAAAAGAAAATGAGCAAATATTGAAACATTTCAGTGGGATAAAAATGTGTTTTGTAGAGATAAATGTGGATCTGTTAAATGAAAATGAATTAGACAAATCGAGCCTAAAAGAAAAATCAAGCAACTATCAAAATATTCCAGCCAATAAATCCTGTGTTCTGCAATAGAGAAAATGTAGATGTCCAGGAAAGTGATAGTTTTATGGGCACAGAGGACAAATACGGCAGGGTCCAACACCAAGGAAGAGGATACTAATGATAGCTGACAAGAGAAGAGTTAAGGAGAATAGGGTCTGTGTCCCAGCATGAAACTGTAGTGCTATAGCAGAAAGTTATTCATATAAGATGGGAGGCTGCAGCCCATTTACACCTAGGCCACTCCAGTCATAGTGGTGGGTGTGGGAAGATTTAAGAAACAACAGGCAGGTTTGGGGGGATAGGCCCCAGCCCCAATAAAGGATGGGAAGAGGAACCAAGGACTTTGACACTGCACAGCCCATACTCTAAACACTGAGACAATTGCTTGTTCACAGACCTCCTCCTGACACCTGGACCCAATTCAACTATCCTCATTCAATGGGAAGAATTACTTGGACATTCCTAAAGAAACAGTTCTTCACTCAATTTCTACAGTAACACATTTGGTCATTAAGTCCTTCTTTATCACACATATTCATGAACAACTCTTTCTTATGGGCCACTCATTCACAGAGGCATACATCTTCTTTTAAATCATCTGTATACGTGTGCAACACTGTCTACCATTTTTCTCTTGTAGGTTCACTTATATCTTTAGAGATGGCAAATAACTACAAGAAAATTGTTCTACTAAAAGGATTGGAAGTCATCAATGATTATCATTTTAGAATTGTTAAGTCCTTACTGAGCAACGATTTACAACTTAATCCAAAAATGAAAGAAGAGTATGACAAAATTCAGATTGCTGACTTGATGGAAGAAAAGTTCCCAGGTGATGCTGGTTTGGGCAAACTAATAGAATTCTTCAAAGAAATACCAGCACTGGGAGACCTTGCTGAAACTCTTAAAAGAGAAAAGTTAAAAGGTAATTGGGAAGAGGGAACACCCACCCGCTGCAACCTTCCCAACCTTCCCAACCTTGATTAGAATGCCACCTTGGTCATAGCTGATACATCCTTTTCCCAATTTGTGACTCACTGGCCATGACATTGTTGGCACTTCAGATGCCAACAAGTTGACAATTTATGGCATTCCATTTCTAATGTGGATTGACGTATATCGGAGTTGAGGTGCAGCAAAAGAACAAAAAGGAGAGGGAGTTGAAGACAGACTGAGACTTCTAGTACATTTGACAGATTACATAATGACAAAATAAAATTATAAAAAATTGTTGTTTATATCTGAGATATGTACATTTAGCCAATTAATATGTCCATTCTATTGAGAATATTCAACACATCATCATTCTTTATATTACAAAAGATAACATAGTATTTAAATGCAAGCATTGCTCCTGGTAGTATGAAGACCTCCCCTCTTGTCATATCATTGAGTTAAAATAATTAAAACAAAGTCGGCCGGGCGTGGTAGCTCACGCCTGTAACCCCAGCACTTTGGGAGGCCAAGGCAGTTGGATCACGAGGTCAGAAGATCGAGACCATCCTGGCTAACAAGGTGAAACCCTGTCTCTACTAAAAAATACAAAAAATATTAGCCAGGCGTGGTGGCGGGCGCCTGTAGTCCCAGCTACTTGGGAGGCTGAGGCAGGAGAACGGCGGCGTGAACCTGTGGGGCGGAGCTTGCAGGGAGCCGAGATTGCGCCACTGCACTCCAGCCTGGGTGACAGAGTGAGACTCTGTCTCAAAAAAATAAAATAAAAAATAAAAAAGTCAAAAGTCACAATATCTCACCTCACAAACCTATATAACATCTCCTTTCACTGGTTTCTGTAATTTGAATAGATTATCTGGAGAATGTGACTAAGCAGTCAGCATCATGAGAACCTTACGTTTTAAAAGGAAATGATAGAAGAATAGGATTGGGAATGGGTTTGACTGAGGCACATGGAGTTCAGAGGACAGGAAGGATGTCCTCACTGCACAGAGGAGGAGTGATGAAAGCACTGAAGAGTATGAGTCAGTGTTTGTGCCTTTGTTTTTCCTGCTGGCCTCCTGGAAGCCAGACTAGGCTAATGCAACAGAGGTAGACTAAAACACACCTGAACTCTCAAGCAGACGCTAAGAGCAAATAGTATTGAAACTGCTTCAGCTGTCCCCGATCATCTGCTCTGGGTTTATACATCTTCCTTTTTTCTGCATTAGTTGTGAATAAAATTGAATCCATTCCAGTCAAAGGAACAACCCCATCTAAAACGAGGAAACAGAAAGAAGTGGATCCTGCTACACCTGCATCCACTGCAAGCAACAGACTTACAGCTAAAGGAGCAGAGGAGACTCTTGGACCTCAGGTAAGCTTCAGGAAGAGGAGCAGGCTTCAAGTCTCACAGTGGAAGCTCTGCTATGGCTCTTCCACTCAATCTCTCCAGCAGACAGTTATTTCTTCCTATGATTCCCATCAAGTTTCAGATTTATCAAATTACATAATAATTGATCATCTTCTTTCTGCGAGGCAACAAGTTAAATATTTTAGTAAACATAATGTAAATATGTATAAAATAAGTATATTTTCATCCCCAATAGAGAAGGATTTAACTTGAGAGTCAGATAAAAAAATATTTCCTGTGTTTACAAAAGCCTAGTTTTTTAACTACAAGTCAGCATATCCCAAAATACAAGTAATTAAGGAGTGATGTGTGTTACTTTCTCCGCTCCCCTTTTTAAAATGAAACCATCTATGCCCTGTTCTTTCAATTGGCCTGGCGATGTACAACACCCACTTAAGTTTCCAAGAAAAATAATTTATATATAATAAACATCCTGCCTTGTAATGAAAATGTGTTCTGCTTCACTTGACACTGAAAATAATTAACAAGAAAAATAAACTACTTGTAGAAAAGAAGAAAACCATCTGAAGAAGAGACTGGAACCAAAAGGAGTAAGATGTCCAAAGAGCAGACTCAGCCTTCCTGCTCTGCAGAAGCCAGCATGTCCACAGCCATGGGCTGTTCCTCACCTCCCCAGACCTCATCATCAGCTCCACCCAACGCTTCCTCAACTGAGGTACACTCTTCCTGGTCCCCTTGTGATTCATTTTCTTAACCCAAAATGCAGGAATCTGATTTCATCCTCTACTGAAAAATGACATCAATAATCAGCCAGTAAATCAAATGTATAGATTGAGAATTCACTGCATTTTAATCTTTTGCTTCCAAAGGGATACTTGATGAACTTGACATTATCTCTGACTGCAGAAAGTTTTCTGTCCTGTGTTGTCTGGGGAAGAGAGAGAGAGCTGTGGAATCTGGAACTTTCAGCAATAGACTCACTGTCTACTGCCCCCATCTGTTTCACACCCCTTCCCTTTGCTCACTAATTTGTTCAAGTTTCTTTGACATACACCATGCTCCTTTTTCCTTTAGGATTTTCGCACACCTTATTTCTTTCACCTTAAAACTCTTACTGGTCAACTTTATCCACCCTCTGGATCCCAATACTGAGACCTTATCCTCAGGGAATCCTCACTTAGACTCCTGCAACTTAGGCTAAATCTTCATGGTGTTCTGTTTCCTAGGAATTTCTTTCTATTCTACTGTTTATGACAACTCAAGTTAAGAAGTGTTTATATTTCCCACCTACTCAACGTAGTTCCAAGGTTAGGGTTAGTTTGTAATTCTGTGGACCACCGTAAACCAGGGCCTACTTCAGTGTCTGCCTCATGGGAAACTTCCAATAAATACCTTTACTCAATGAAAAAATGAAAAACCAGTGGCTCACGCCTGTATTCCCAGGACTTTGGGAGGCTGAAGCAGGTGGATTGCCTGAGGTCAGGAGTCCGAGACCAGTCTGGCCAACATGATGAAACACCGGCTCTACTAAAAATAGAAAAAAATTAGCTGGATGCGGTGGCATGCGCCTGTAATCCCAACCACTTGAGAGGCTGAGGCATAGGAATCGCTTGAACCAGGGAGGTGGAGGTTGCAATGAGCTGAGATCGCACCACTGCACTCCAGCCTGGGCGACAGAGTGAGACTCCGTCTCAAAATAAAAAAGTAAAAAAAAAAAAAAAGAACCATATTCTAAGATATGAACCACTGCAGCTAAGCAAATGACAAATAAAGGTCATCTGACTCAGTCAAAGATACCTATTGTGAGGCCAAAAGTTGTAAAAACAAAGAGAAGTGATGGAATAGGGAAGAGAGCTCAGGAGTTTGGGAAAATGTAGGCAGACAGAAGATGATACACCAAGACTTACAAATGAAAGAAAGTAAACTACAATTAATAATTGCATGATTCTGATAATCCTTATAATGTTGTACTCGTCTCAAATTTGGACAGGTCAGCCTTACTGTATGCATGTATCAGCAATAGTCTAAAAACTAATTGAAACTCTAATGAGCTTTATTATAAAAAAGAATGTTCTGTATTTCTGATACACAATAGAGGAGATCAACTATGATAGGCAACAAGTGATGAAACCACAACACCAACCTCAGTTGGAACATGCTCTATTCCCTTTTTTCTTACATTAGATTTTGTATTAATATAAGACTATTTCAGAAAAAAAAGGAATAAATGCAGACAAACAGGATCAAACTTAATTAAATTTACATGAAATTCCAGCATCCATAATTTGCCACATTTCTCTATATACCCTCTCATATTTACTCCTATGTATACACATATTTTTTCTGAAAATACCGTAATACAATGTAATGTCCTATTATGTCTCTCTGAGCAGTTATTATGATCCCCTTCATGCAGGTCCTGTATTCATGTGGCTCCTTGTGAGGTTGCATATTGGTTACTATTAATATTCGCATGGATGAGTCTACGGTTACTGATTAACTTGCATTGGGAAAGGACTTTTCTGTGTTAGGCTGAATGGGTCGCATGGATGAAAAGTCAGATCAAATAAAGTCCAATCACTCACAGATGATCACTGTATATGGTATTCCAGATCAGACCACTCAGGAGCTGCTGGTTTGCGAATGAGGCCTACCTATTCCTCCAGTGCTTTTTCTTGAAATTGAACAACTTTTCCTTCATTAATGTGTTCTGCTGCAATTTAAGGAAACCTGGATGTTATAGAGAAAGGGTATTAAAGACAATCCACTCTGATCCTTGGTTTTCTGCCCACATGCTACCTCCTGGAGCCCTGACATTGAGAAAGGCTGCAATGGTGGAAATGACACTCTGTAGAGAGTGTCTGTAGCCTGAATCTACTGAGATGAGGGCATTCTGAGGGGTTTAGCCCGCAGGTATTCTCACCTGCTTTAAGAGTATTTATCTTAGGCTGGAAAAGTACGAGTTGTATGCTAAAAATTGCCCTGTCTACATTGGTAATAACTAAACACTAGTGATGTATGTGGTTTGTGGTGGATACCCTTTACCATTTTCAGTGCTATTCAATTGTATTTTGTCTATTTTTATGCTCTGGCATTTTAAGCTGGTAAGAGTAAAACTACAATTCATTATTTTATCCTAAATTTATTTTAAGTTACTTCATGATAATCAGCTCAGCATCCACTTGTCTTATGTTGCTATTATATCTTACATTTTAAGGATTATTCTGTTTAGAGAAGAGTCTTCCTTTACTATGTGGTCTCCTATATTACTGCATCTGGCTATGAGACTACTTCAGGATATCCTCTCCTTCCCTGTATCCTGGCCCTAGCTCTACACATCTATAACCGTTTTGGGGCCCAGTGTTGTGACTTGAGGTCATTGAAGAGCAATTCTGTATTCCTCACTCAAAAATTTCTTTTTTGTATTCCTTTTTTTATCATGCGCAGAGCCTAAAACCATTGGCCAACCGTCAGGCAACTCCCAGTAAAAATATTTTCCCAAAAGACCCAATGATCGTGATGGTACTAAGTGCAACAAAGATATTTAAATATGAATTCTCAGAAAATGAGCAAAGAAGAATGTTTCATGCTACAGTGGCTACGCAGACACAGTTCTTTCATGTGAAGGTTTTAAACATCAACTTGAAGGGGAAATTCATTAAAAAGAGAATCATCATTATATCAAATTATTCTAAACATAATAGTCTCCTAGAGGTGAATGAAGCCTCTTCTGTATCTGAAGCTGGTCCTGACCAAATGTTTGAGGTTCCAAAGGACATCATCATAAGAGCAAAGAAAACTCCGAAGATCAATATTCTTCACAAACAAACTTCAGGATATATTGTATATGGATTATATATGCTACATACGGTAAGGCATCAAAGCTGTTTTGTTGCATTTTCTACAATAACACGTGAAGTTAAAACCCCTGATGTGCTAAATGGAAGTTTGCATATTTACTTAACATTAGAACTCAGGACTCTTTCAAAACTACTGACAAGTAAATAAAGTCTTCTTCAAGGTTAAGACCAGGACTAGGAGAACTATTAATGTTCTCATTCCCATGTTTTTCTTTCCAAAATATCACCCTGAAATTCTTTAGTAAAACATTCACTGAGAAACCTTGAGACTTCATCAGCTATGACTACCTATTATGAGTCATAATGATCAAGGATAGTGAGGGATCCAGATCCATACAAACATAATGGTAAACTTATTTCTTTGATTATAATCTCAATTGTAGCAAAAATCACATTAGTTTCATTTTGAATAAAGTATTGTCCTTTGAGGCTTGAGTTCCAGTTTTGACAATCAGGGCAAGAAATGAATTCACTGATTATACCTGGAAATCAACTGCAGAAAACAGGTAGGACAATGTTCTGACCAAATGAAGCCTATTCATCAAAAAGTATTGAACAACTGAGAAATATAAATTTGGATGATACTTGGAAAGTCAAGTAATCTGTACTCGTATACTAGATATGTCACAAAAAAAGAGCAGAATAATTTTTCTGATATGTTACTGTCAAAATTTATGAAACTAGTTAGCATGAGACATTCCAACTCAGAAAACCAGTCTATACCTGGCTATTGATTCCAGTAATTTCTTACATGATCAACAGCTCACAATCTGTTACATTTATTTTCTAGAATGACCTCTTATTTTAGCAGCGTTGCTTTCTGTACACACTCTTAAAGAAATTATCCTTAGAAATATACATCCAGAACGATGAGTAATAGCCTTGATGAGCAAGAAATTGGAATGTTTGAACATAAGGACCTGATTTCAGAATGGGAGATGTTGAAAGAGATTCAGTAAATGGAGAAAGTCAAAAAAGTAATTAGATAGTTACTAAAAGCTTATTTTTTATTACAGATTCCTCATAACATAGCAAACAATTAGTTGTAACAGATGCCCATTCTTTTTGCATAGGGGCAGAGGCCAAATAAGCCTACCAAGGACTTCAGGTTCCTTTGTATCAAGGTGCTTTGGGAAGCATAGCTGTCTTGGAGGTGAAAGAAGTTGAAATTGGGAAGATAACTCATTGCTCTAGAACTGTAATAGAAATACTTAGAACGTTAAGGACTTAAACAAAAAGGATATTGAGGGAGAGCTCTGTGAGATGGTCTAGACTAAGACATATGTGTTGTATGTTGATATAGTACTAGGAGTTGCTGTCTTGCATCTTGTTTTTAATCGTCACAAGAGACTTTCCCTTATGTACAGTAGTTACTATGTTCTCACAAACATGATATTAATTTTTTGTTGCAGAAAATTGTAAATAGGAAGACAACAATCTATGAAATTCAGGATAAAACAGGAAGTATGACTGTAGTAGGAAAAGGAGAATGCCATGATATCCCCTGTGAAAAAGGAGATAAGCTTCAACTCTTCTGCTTTCGTCTGAGAAAGAGGGAAAATATGTCAAAACTGATGTCAGAAATGCATAGTTTCATCCAGGTGAGAAATAAACAAATATTAGTTTTCCAAAGATGAAAATCATTTGCTTTAAGTTTTAGGAAACCATACTTCTGTTGTTTTACACTTAAAATTCTGCAAGTTCATAAGAAATGAAATGATGCCCTTGCACTTACACTTAGAGAAAATTATTAAAATATATTAAAAGAATGACATTAATTATCTTCTTCAAAAAGACATGAAACTTGTGCTAACTACTAAAATATTTGAAGAAATTCGGAGGGCACAGGACTAATTGAAGTTAGTTATCAAAACCAAGTTCTTTGCAGTAAGATAGGCTTGGTATATATTTTGCTCATTTAGGTGCATCATATTAGAGAAATAGCTTACATGTTCCTCATAAGATTGGCTTGAAAATTAAATGAGATCGTGGATATACATTTTGTATCCCATTGCCTTCCTTGTACATTATGACAAACCACTTTGCGCTAGATACTACTGCTCTTAACAAGGTAAAGACAGACATTGGAAAGACTTCAGGCAGATAAAATGTTACATACAAATATTAAAAGTGAGAAACAGCATAGTGAGTTCTGTACAACTTTGGCATATGTGGAAAGGTAAGAAAAACTCATACAATACAGGTAACAAGTAGTCCTTTTCTCATCTGTCTTATGCCATAAAGACAAAAATGGAGTTCATTTAAAAAAATAAGCAAATAAAGATGTTATTTGACTAAGAATGTTAGATCATTTTACATTTTAGCAAAAAAATATATTGGCAGTTGCCTGGAGGAATACATTAGATAGGGGCAATTTTTAAAGGTAATGACATCTATTAGAATTTAATAAAGGATGATAGTCTCACATATTTAAAGATGTTGTGCTTTCCCTAATATTAAAAAACACTAAACAAAAAAAAAAAATGAATACTTTCAGATACACAAAAAAACAAGCCAGAGAAGCCATGACCCCAGGAGCATGGCACTACCCCAGGAACGGAGTCAGCATCCAAAACCTTCAGAGGCTGGCACAACCCTACCTGAAAGCCGTCCCAAGACTCCTCAGATGCTGCCAACAACCCCATCCAGCAGTTCCTTCACCAAGGTACAATTTCCTGGGTCCCATGCCTCATATCTCCCAAACATAAATTACAGGGATCATTAGACTGTTAAAAGAGTTTCTCTTCCACAATCTCTTGATAAAATTAAATCACCCTTGTGTTTACTGAATGCATGCAGTGAGATACTACCACATCACAGTCTTTGCTATCTAAAATATATTTGTGCAATGATTGCTAACCTCAAGAGGGCTAATATCTTGTGTTGCTCCACCTACTGAGAGGGGGAGGGGTAATGGCCAGACAAACAGAGATGAAGACAAAGCGTGCGTTATGACCCACATTCCAATTTCTTTCACAACTTTCCCCTTTGCTTATTGGTACTATTTCTGAATTTATTTTCAGCATTCCAAGTTGAAATAAATATTCCAAGTATATATTTGGAAACATGTTATTTCATTGTTGGGAATCCATTTCTCCCATCTCATCGCTGGCAAGAATTTCCTTAAATTTCAGATGCCAGCTTAAATATTTTCCTCTGGCAAGTCCTCAATGATACAAGATAGCAGAACTGATGAGTCCTTCTACCCTTTACTTTTACAGGGCCTCCTGTCAATGAGAGTAAATTACTACTTTCACAGAAGTGAAGAGAGAGGCTTATTATATAAGATGTTTTCCATACTTCTTGATCTGGGATTTCCCTTAATAGGGTCAGTGTAGCACATGATATATTTGTAGAACAGAAAAAAACTACAAGTCCCAGCATAGAACATGTAACAACAACAATAATTATATTTCTATGATTTGAGCACTTAATTAGGTGTTGGGTCTTAAATGTTGTTCCTGATGTACATTATCTCATTCCTTCTTCATAACCATCAAGAGGATGCTACTTTCTGTCCCAATTCACATAGAAGAAAATAGACATATGCAGACATAAAAAAAAAAATCTTCAAGTTCTCAAAGACAGTGTTAGAGTCAGGATTCATATCCAGACCTACTGAAATGTAAAACTTGAGCAATTTATGATTATATGTGGCTTTAAAGTTGAGACATACTAATGTCAGCAACTTATTTTAAAAATTTCAGAATTGACAGTGTCATGTAATGGGTTTGTTTGCATAGCCCAGGCTCTGCAGGGCTTCTCAAAAATAAGGTACCCAGAATGAACAAAGTCATACAGAAGCCACTCTCCAGAATTAGAGTCCTGTCATTCTTCTCTATAACAGAGTGCTTTTTATATAGTAGATAACTGGATTCTAGAAGTGGTAGAACAATGGAAATTAATGTATTATTAATGAATGGTAAAAATCAGTGAAAATAGAGAAAATTATGTGATTGAGGAGACCTATGTCCTTGCTTCTGGAAAAAAATGTTTAAAAAATTACTTCAAATGCTCAAGTAGATTGTTAAGTATTTCTAAATATGATTGATAGCCCTGAGGATTCTGGTTAACTGATGCAGACTACAAAACAGCAGAATTCTGCATCTGGAATTGTGGATTTGAAAGAATCCTTCTAGCACAGTGATTAGATAGATAGATAGATAGATACATACATACATACATACATACATACATAGAAAGAAACATAGAGCTGGATTTCCTACAATCTAAAGAACAGACAACAGGTGCCCATTTGTGTATTTCCTTGACTAGAAAGACTTAGTTAATAAACACCCATCGGACATTTTCAGAGCTAAGTTTGTAATTCTGGTTTCTGTATATGCAGAAGAGGAGATTTAGGGAAATTACACTTATATAGATATTCCAGAGAACATTCACAAAGAGAGGGTCCTGTTAAAATGGATAAAATATTTAGCATGTTGTGGCTCATATTGAAAATTATTAACCAGAAAAAAATAATCTATTTTCCTCCCAACAACTAAGGACACAACCACTCAAACTCCTGACCTCAATCTCCGAATTCAGCCCCAGAGCAGAGTCTGCAGTGAACTGCAGTGAAGAACTCATTTCCATATGGGTTCCAGCATCAGGTTTCTCAGTTACGCCCAAAAACCACATAATACAGTTTCTTACACAAGATACTATCTTGCATTTCCCATTCCTGTGCTTCACAACATCATAATTACTAGGGTGATTGGATCAGGACAGGCACCTCATTGATCCAGACTGAATACAATGTCTTTAATAAAATTTATCATTATTAGTGAAGTATATTCTTTGAGACCCTATTAGATTTTGTCTTTTGGTGTTTACAAAATACATATTCATGAACTCATTCCTGACTCAAGAGAATTACTGTCTTTTGTTGGTCCAGGTGTAGAGAGAGATTGTGGGGATGTAGCCAGATAAAGGAAGATGTAAAAGAATGTGTTCATTATCTATATTCCAGTTACCTTTTATCCTTTCACTTTGTTTATGACCACACCTCAGGTTTTATTTTAAACTATCCATGGTCTTTTCCAAATCAGAAGCTTTGACATAGATTGCTTCCTTTGCTGGGATCATTTTCTCCAGTCTCTTCTCTAACCCACCTCTCCACAGGTGCCAGCTTAAATCCCTTCCTAGGACAAGTCCTCACTGGTACCTGTGGGGGTTTGTCCCACAGACCTTGACCCAACAACAGATGAATAATGTATACTGACACAGATATTCTGCCTGTCACCTCAGCTAAGGGTCCAGGCCCATCACAGACACCAAGGAAGGTGCTATAAAGAGTAGTAGCCACAGCCTCCACTCTGCAGGCATTTACTTGGCACAGATTTAATTGACAAAGGCTTTGAGTCAATACACCTGTAGGTAATTAATCTGATCGCCGACCCCCAAGTAGAGAGCAATTATGCACCCACGATTGATCAAAGGTTGGTCTTACGATCACATGAGTAAACACGCTATTTAGATAAACTACCTTCCTTTGAAACCACTTTAAGCTATTTACTCAAGGTAAGAATTAAGCTGCTCTCAGCCATAGCCCTATCTTGAGACTTTTACAAAACCTTCCAGCCTTCCAAGAAGATTTGTGTCTATGTCCTATAACTTCATCTTAAAATTTTTCTGCCAGCCTGACTGAACTACCACATGTCCCCCTTTTCTGTTTTCTGCATCAGGTTCTCTGGACTGAAGCATACAGATATGTGCAGCAACAAGTCTGTTGGGCAGGGCGGTCATTGCTCTTATTCTGGCTTTGCATCCTAGAATTAGCAAATAACATAAGACAACCATGACTATAATTAGCAGCATTCTTTTCCAGTTAGAGTGACCCCCAGGAGCAGGGCTCTAACCAGGAGAGATGATCTTGCACACCCTTCCATATGGCTGTTTGTTGGGTGTGTGGATCTATAGTGTGAAAGGATTCTAAAATTTTAGTTTTAAGTTGCTTTATGTCTTAAATTTTATGCTTTAAAATTTTATTCTAAAATTTTAGTTTTAAGTTGCTAAATTGTCATGAAAGGTTTCCCAGAGTCGTTGTTTCACTTCATCCCAACCATGTATTGATTGGTTCCGTGGTAGAGAAATGATACAGATATGTTTATGCCCCCCAGTGGCAGTTTCATTGCTGTCGGAATGCCAGTGCATCTTGTTGCTCCCCCACATATTCTAAGGCAGCCTTGAGGGCTCGCAGTAGTGCAAGAATCTTTTGATCTATACCTTGCTATAAGAGAAGTTTATTAGACACATTTCTGGCCATATTATCTACAAAAGCAACTGTTTGTACTGATTCAGTAATAGATGCAACAGCCACACTAGCGGTTGCCAGGATGACTATGGCTGAGACCATAAAGGCTATAAGTGTGCCTATGAATCTTTTGAGTCTCACCTGGGACAGGGGACATTCTTAGGTGGCAAGGACAGAAGAACCTTGCCAATCGCGTGTCAAATTGACTGGTAGGAATGCCTCAGATTGTCTCCTTAATATCATAACACTAGCAATATTTAAGTTAGATATATTGTAATTAGTGATACATGAGGCAAACCAAGCCTGTCCCTGCACCCCGATCACAAACGTGGAGTTTTGGGGTATAATGGAAATATCAGTTCCCATAAGGAAAACATATGGATGGGGAGTGCAAATTAGGCACTGATCAGTGTGATTACGAGTGAAGGCTATAGTATAATTGTTACTGGAATTATGATATGTCCCATACCAGGTGTCAAAGGAGGTGCTAAGATATCCCAGGTACCATAAAGTGTCATGGGGTGGCAAGGACTTTACTTGGGGTCTGGGATAACCCATCTCCCCATCAGCTCAAATCATAGGGGAACGGGATGAGGTTACAAAACGGTGATTGATGCCATGATGGATGAGGACATCAGTAAGACTGCCCTGCAAATAGCTGTGTGGGCTCCAGTCTAAGATGTTATAATAGCCTAGTTGGAGGCTATGGGCTTGTTCCCCATGACAGACCTCCCAGCTAAAGTGGAATTCATTAGTTTCCCAGCTTTGTTCTTTAGCACAGGAAGGAATGTTTGGGAAAGCGGCATTAATTGCATTACCCAATTTGAGACTACCTGCAGCTAAGACTGTTAAGGCCTTTCCTTTGCCATGATGTAGCCACAATTGGGTTTGGGCAGGTACACATTAAGGGTTAGAACCTTTATAACTTACTCACAGTGGAAGGATAGTGGAGTGATACGTAGTGTTATCTGGCACCTTAGTCCAATGTGTGCCATTTTTGAGAGACCCCACTGGGTGTAAATCTAACCCTCCTAGCCAAGCAATCACATTATTAAAGGCTGGGAAGGGAGTGTCTGCCCAGGTGACAGGGCGAAAGAAAGGCAGATCTAAGATATGAGCCCAGTAGAGTTTAGCAGGTACAGGTTGCAGACAAAGTGAGAGCATAAAAAAGGAACCATACCCTATGTGAGTTGCAATGTACAACAGAAAGCATAGCAAGAAGCAAATTATCTGGAGTGAATGGTGTCTGTGTCTGGAGCAGGATTCGTTCAGCCTCCTGAGTTGTCCTCTTCAGCATCCTCCAGGTAACGTCTGATGCTTGTGTTGTCTGAGGAAGCCACATTGTCCAGGGCTGCGGGTCCTGTAGGGTTAGTTCCTTCATTTCTGGTACCAGTTTGGGTCCTAGCCACGCCATGATATGGTTTGATGTGTCATGCTGGAATCCAAGGAGGACCTGAGGGCGTGTGGACACAAGCATGCCCTCTTCCCCATGTTAATAATTCACTTGGAACACACCATACATTACTGTTCACATCTTTCCATAAAACTGAAGGTTTTATGCCTAGAGAGGTTTTAGCAAAGTGCTTTTCTACAGCTTGTGCCGATAGTGTGGCAGGGTATTTACCCATACTCCTCCTTTTTTGTTTCTTGAATATATTTTTAGGTGTGGAGTCGGCATGTTCTACTATGGTTTGTCCTTGGGGGTTATATGGGATGCCTGTGGAATGTTAGATATTCTATGTGTGACAAAATTGTTGAAATTGTGAGCTGGCATCAGCTGGACCATTATCAGTTTTAATTTTTGTGGGCCGTCCCATAAATGCAAAAGTTAATGACATATCCAGTGGATTTTCCAGGAAGAACATGTGCACTAATTAGATGAGTGTTCGTATCAACAGATACATGTACATATTTTAGTTTTCCACATTCAGGGATATGTGTAATGTCTGTTTGCCATAACTGATTAGGTTCTAGTCCTCTAGGGTTAACACCTGTTGAAGGAGGGGATGTGCCTGTGAGGTGGCAATCTGGGAATTGTAGGATAATCTGTTTAGCCAGTCTCTGGGTAAATTGAAATTGCTTAGATAAGTTTCTCCAATTTTGGTGGAAAAACTGATGCGATTAGGTGGCTTGGTCAAGCAGTGATGTCATAACCTGAAGGTCTGCTTGATCATGGCCATAAGCCAATGGGCTAGGCAGTGAGTTGTGGGCTCGAATGTACGTAATAAAAATAAGATGTGTACGTTGATCTAGCAATTGCTGAAGTCAGAGAAAAAAAGCACATAGGGCAGGCTCCAGAGTGGACTTAATTAGGGCTGTCTGAAGGTTCTGCAATAAATAGAGTAAGCAGAATCGCTAACGATATTGACGGGCTGAGTGGAAAAAGTTTCCAAGGCCAATATCAGAGCCCCAATCTCAGCTCTCTGAGTGCTGGTAAACCGAGTTTGAGTGATTGAATTATGTGGTCTCCACCAGACTGGTGCTTTTCCATGTTTACGCAAACCATCAGTAAACAGTATTGAAGCACTAGGTATGGGGGAGTGAACTACTTTTGTAGGTAAAACATTTACTAGACTTTTTGGGAATGATGAAAAATGGGTGCATCCCAAGGGCTGTTGGTAGAATATCATCCATAAAATGAATAACCTTGCAATCAGGAAATTTTTCTTTCTACTGGGGAGCAGTTTGCTTTTAATTGCTCCTTAATTAACTCATGGGCCTCTTGTAATTTCTCTCCCTTTAGAGGTTACTGTTTTACTTAAATTGGATTTGGAGAAAGTCATGTTAGGGGTAAGAGAGAGATAACAGTGGCCATTATTAGAAAGAGGTTTTTAAAATTTCTAAATTTTACTTAAATCTTAGCATAGAATTATAATCTGGGGTGTCGCTTGTATACAAGGAGCACATGAAATTTTGCCGTGGTCCGCCTGCAGAGCTGGAGAGCTAAGCATGCGGGCCCCAGGGTGGTGGCTGCCTTGCGCTTGCCTAGGCGCTGCTGTTGCCTGTGTGGCTTTTCTTTTCTGTTTTCTGTGCCACTCCCTCCCGCTGCTGCAGGGCGGCTACTGCCTGCTGGGTGGACCTTCCCACATGTGCCACCTGCCCCTCCCCAGCAGGCTACCTCCTGCGGCTGGGCCTGGCTTCTTGTAGTGGCAGCTGCCCAGGCTGAGTTCCTGGGAGCATTGGCTGGCTCCGGATTTGTGAGCTTCCCCACTGCCGAGCCTTTCTTTCTACCTACTGCTTGCTTGGTGGCACAACTTTGGCCTCTAATGCTTTTTTAAATCTTTTTATAAGCGTTAAAAGAAATGGGTTTATGATTGCCTTGTTGATCTTGCATTACTCTGCAGGCGAAGGGCTCCCTTCTAATGCCGCTTGCTTAAGACAGGGTTCCATACCTGGAGTATATCCTGCCTTTTTTCCCATCTATTGGAGGAAGGGAGCTCAGGCAAAACCTCCGTTCCCGTTTGTTATTTTGGCCTGATGATACTGGGGCTGAGGGAAGAGGAAGTGGTAAGGCAGGTGACGGTTCCTCCTCCTTCCCCTTTTTAGGCTCTTCTGGTTGTAACTAACCAGAGCCCCTCTAACTAAAGCCCATAGCGTTAGGGCTGTTACTGGGACCCATTGCCCTTGTGCATAATGTTGTTTAGGATTTCTCCCTACTTACTCCCAGAGCTCTACATCTAGCATGCCTTCTTTTAAGAACCATTGATTATGGGTTACAACCATTTGCATTAGGTCCCTTAATTGAGCCTGTGAAACTGAGGCTCCGCTAGCCTTAAGCAGCTGTTTCAATACTTTTATATACTGTTTCTGTTGAGCTGATAACTGTTGTCCCATGATGAAACCTAGCCTGAACAAGGCCCACCGGCGCTGAACTTGGAAATCCCAAGTGGACACTAATGACTTACTGACTCACTGACCGTGCAGTTCTTTTTCACCTTCGTTTTTGGGAGGTCCGTTGCACTGCCTTTGCAGTGTTCCTCACACGGGCTACCAGCTGCAGGGGTCCATCCTGCAGACCCTGACCCAACGACAGATGAATAATGTACACTGAGACAGATATTCTGCCTGTCACCTCAGCTAAGGGTCCAGGCCCCTCACAGACACCAAGGAAGGCGCTGTAAAGAGTAGCAGCTGCGGCCTCGACTGGCTGGCCCTGTGGGCATTTATTTAGCACAGATTTAATTGACGAAGGCTTTTGAGTCAACAAACCTGTGGGTAATTTGGTTGCTGAACCCGCCGCAGTAGAGAGTGATTATGCACCCGCAGTTGATCAGAAGTTGGCCTTAAGACCACATGAGTAAACAAGCTATTTAGATAAACTACTCTACCTTCCTTTGTACCCACTTTAAGCTATTTAATCAAGGTAAGAATTAGGCTGCTTTCAGCCATAACCCTATCTTGTGACTTTTACAAAACCTTCCAGCCTTCCAAGAAGATTTGTGTCTATGTCCTATAACTTCATCTTAAAATTTTTCCCACCAGCCTGACTGAACTCCCACAGATATCCACATTTCAGATTAGATGAGGTCCTCCCATTGTTGGTTCTCTCTGGTCCTTCATTTATGAGCTTTCCTAGCTCCCTTTACTTTTCATGATAGCCTTAGAACAACTAGAGTGAAGGAGTGATTTTCCCCCTTGCTATACCATAAGCTCAGATGGTAGGTAGAGTTTACCGCAGAGGAACAAAATACAAGAGGGAAAAGGTCAGTTCATGCTATGTGCATCAATTCTTATTCCAGATTACCTTTTCCTCTGACATGATGGGGTAGCTACCTGCACTCAGGGTTCAGAAGCCTGTATTTATGGTGAAAGGGCAGGAAACTTGGAGGAAAAGCAAAATAATTAAATCACTAGTTTTACAATCGTTTCTCACTCCAGCCCTAAGCCCAGCAACAGACACCTCCACCACCTTGTATACACTCTGGAGGACAGGCTTCCTATGTACAAGCTCTCTGTTTTGTTTTTGTTGTTATCATTGTAGTTCTTAGTTCTAACACACTATATTGCCTCAGTAGTTTATTCAAGTATTATTTGAGCTAGCAGCCTGTGTCTTTTTGCCAACTTGGCACAAGTGGCTATGAATGGAGCCCTTGCTCAATCATTGCAGCCTCAGATCCATATTCTCTTGACCACTTCAATGTCCACTTAAATGAACATCTCCAGACAACAATGCCTTTCTCACTTACATTGATTGAATGGGATTATGTAGGAATTTCTAAATCTTACCTGCCAAAATCTTAATCACAAACCTTGCTAAAGCTGTACAGATTATTCTGCTGTACGTGAACATCTCTAGAGCACAGGAATCCCAGGAGAATATTATGCCTTTGTGGCCTCAAATACCTAAACACATCATGCAGCCATTTATTCTTGGGTGTCCAACTACCACCTGTAAAAAAAGAGTATCCAACTACTTACTTATGACTCACTAGGTGAGCAGGAAAGTCTCGTTCCACTCATCGTGGGTTTGCCAGATTTTGTCTGATATAGTTTGTATATGGATTGGGATTTAAAACAAGAAGCAACCTATTCCTATCGTTAATTTCTTACGTTATGTTAACCTAAAGCCAAAAACACAAATTGACATGAATCAGGACCAGGAATGGTAAAGAAAAGCATTACTCTGAGAACATTTTTTTAATAATTTAAAATACTAGTCAACCAGAGTATATATGTTCTCATCCAAATTCCACCATTGTGATGGACTGTTTTATTTGACTATTTTTGAGAAGATAATAACTCAAGATGTTTTTGTCAATAAGTGTTAGAAACAAATAAAGAAGTTTTTTTAATAAAATACTTTCTATACCAGTTTGATCTAGAGTTTCCATGAGAAAGGTAAACAGGGAGTACAAGACACAAGTGATCAGAGTAGACATCCAAATCCCTGCAGAATGAGTATAATACCAAACATAAATGATATTCTACTTTCTGAGTATTTACAGGGTACTGGTTTTAAAACCTGCATTCTGTATGTATATGTATATTATCACATCCCTTTTTCATAACACAGTCATGAGAATGCTACTCTTAGCCTTATACATAAGAGAAAACTGAAATACATAGGATTTAAAAATATTCCCCAAGTTTACAAAGATAGTGAGTGTGCTAAATGTAAATTATATGTACTTTATGTATCTTTTCTTATTTGTTCTGCGTTACACTGCCTTGATGATATCATTATTAGTCGTCACATTTCACATTTCTAAATACTGAGGAAATGAGAGGTTAAATCTTCATTTAAGATACTGCTTTTGAGGGACAAGATAACTAACTAGAAACAGCTAGTGTGCACCACTCTTGTAGAGAGAAGAGAGTAGCAAGTAAATGCTAGATCTTCAACTGGAACATCCAGGTGGACCATTGAGAACCACCAAGAAAACAGCTTTACCCATGGAGAATAGAGAAGAGTAAGACAAGACAATTGCTCACCTGGGTATGGCGTGAAGCCAGAGGAGGCTTCTTCACTGCAGGGAGATGGTGGGTGAGTGAGAGTCTCTGTGGACCCATACCTTTGCCACCCTGGGCTCAGGAGATATTCCCATGAGACTACCCCACTGGAGCCTTCAGACTGAGGGGAGAGCTAAGTGGAGCCTGGGCAGAGCCACCACTCAGGCATACAGGGGACACTTGGAGCCTTGGATCCAAGTATCCTGGAATTAGCGGCTGCAGCTCTGGCAATAGGGGAGGTCAGGCTGCGCCACAGGCCTTCAGGAAAGGAGCTAAATCCAGGGGACTAAGTAGCACTGGACTGCAAGCCTCGCCTCCACTGCACCTCACAGGATAAAGTCCACTAGCGTAGTACTCCAGGCACCCCCCTGCCTGGGCTTCTCGGCCGGTAGCAGATCTGCACTTCCCTGGCATGGAGCCCCCAGAGGGAGAGGCAGCCTGCCACTTTTGCTGTTTCACAGCCATTGTCACGGCTGCCTTCAGGCCCTGGAGCGTGTGTGGTGATTAGGGACTGGCCGGATCTCCATCACAGCACAGATGCCTCATGAAAGAGTGGCCAGACTGTTTTATACGTGGATTCCAGATGCCAGTTCTCCTCACTGGGCAGGACCTCCTGACTTCAGACTCCAGCTACTCCCTGCCTGGGCTATGGTGACTATAGCATCTCTATACTTCCCTGGGATGGAACTCCTAGCAGGAAAGTTAGGCTGACATTTTTCCTGTCTTGCAGCCCTCACATCAATTGCCTTCAGGTTCTGAAGGAAGGGCAGTGATTGGTGATGGGTGGATCCCCAGCACACTGGAGCCACCCCACGGAGAAGTGGTTGGAGTGTTGTAAACATAGGTCCCTGTTCACATTTCTCCTCACTGGGTGGGGCCCTCAGGCCTAGGGCTCGAACACAACTACCCTGCCCCCTCCTGAACACTTCAGTGGAAAGCAGCTTTGCATTTGTCTCAGGAGAAAATCTCAGAGACTACGCACAACTCCTCCACCATTGCAGCTGCAGTGGCACTGCCCTAACTGCGCTTGGGCCATGAAAGAAACAAAGGATCTTTTTTTTTTTCTTTTTTTTTTTTTTTTTGAGACGGAGTCTCACGCTGTCGCCCAGGCAGTGCAGTGGCCGGATCTCAGCTCACTGCAAGCTCCGCCTCCCGGGTTTGCGCCATTCTCCTGCCTCAGCCTCCGGAGTAGCTGGGACTACAGGCGCCCGCCAGCTCGCCCGGCTAGTTTTTTGTATTTTTTAGTAGAGACGGGGTTTCACTGTGAAACAAAGGATCTGGTCACTATGCTGGCACCTCCAGCGCACAACAGCGAGCACTGGAGAGGAGTCCAGTCTCTCTTCCCTATGAGCTCCCAGCCCCACTCTTCACCAGACAGGGCTCCTGGCTTTGAACTACAGAACAGCTGCCTCACCCATGGCTAAGCATAATGTCTGCTAGTGACTCTGTGTTTCCCTGGGGGGTCCCAGAGGCAACTGACTGCCCCACTGCAATGGCCAAAGCAGTGGTTCTGCCCCGATCCCCTTAGTCCAAGGAAGAAACAAAGATCCCGAGAGTTTCACCTGCGCTTCTAGCATACTACAGTCACCATACAGGCAGTGAGGCACAGTCTCTTCTCCCTGTGAATCCTCAGTGCCCCACTCTTCAATGAGCTGAGCCCCTAGTTGTGGCCAGCAATGTAACTGCCCATTTCCTAGCTGAACATTCCCTGTAGCAGTGGCTCTGCATTTCTCTGAGGTGCAGCTCCCAGAGGCAACCAAAAGGCCCTCTGCCACTGCTGCTGCAGTGGTACTGCCCTGCTGCCTTCAGACTGAGGAGGAGCTGCAGTTGCCCTTAGGAGAAGAACTCAGTCTATCTCTCTTGTGATCCACCCGTAGCCCTGCTCTTCACCAAACAAGGACCCTCTGGCTTGGACCCCCAGCACAGCTGCCCCATCTTAGGCCAATTGCACTGGCTGATAGCAGCTCCTCATTTCCCTGGGGTAGACCACCAAGAGGCAAGTGAAAGGCCCTCTACCATACCACTGCTAAGGTTTCTTCTGCTGCAGCCTCCAAGCTGGGGAGGGAACATAAAGTCTGAGCTCACCCCAGAGCTGCAGTGTGCCAAACGAAGATCTGCAGCCAGTACTCAAGTGGGAAAGGAGCCCACACTTTCAGAGCACTGAGAGGGAGCATGCCTTGCATATGGCAGAGCAAGAGTCTACCTACTGACCAGTACACTTAAACGCCACCTACTGGATCACAGCCCAAAACTCCAACACCAAAAATATTTTGCTAATATAGACCCCTGTGTAACCATGGACAAGAATTTAGCTAGAAATTAAAATCCTGCACAAAGCCTCAGCTCTCTAAAAACATCCAGGAAAGAAGGTTTCTAACTACTCAAAAGAAAGAAACAGTGCAAGAACTCTGGCAATTCAGAAAGCCAGAGTGTCTTGTTTCCTCCAAATGATTGCACTAGTTCCCCAGCAAAGGTTCTTAGCCAGGCTGAAATGGCTGAAATGACAGAAATAGAATTCAGATTATGGGTAGGAATTAAGATAATTGACATTCAAGAGAAAGTTAAAACTCAGCCCAAGAAATCTAAGGGTTTCAATAAAATGATACAGGAGCTGATAGAAAAAAATGGCCATCATAAAAAAGAACTAAATTGATCTGATAAAGCTGAAAAATACACTACAAGAATTTCATAATGCAATTGCATGTATTAACACCAGAATGAAATAACCTAAGGAAAAAACCTCAGAGTTCAAAGACTGGCTTTCTGAAATAACTCAATCAGAAATAAAATAAAGAAAAAAGGAACTAAAAAGAATGAAAAAAACCTCTGAGAAATATGGGATTATGTGAAGAGACAAAGTCTAGAACTCATTGGTGTCCCTGAAAGAGACAAGGAGAAAGCAAACACCTTTAAAACACATTTCAGGATATCATCCATGAAAACTTCCCCAACCTTGTTAGAGAGGCAAACTTTCAAATTCAGAGTACATAGAGAACTCCTGTGAGATACTACACAAAAAGACCATCCCCAAGACACATAATCATAAGCTTCTCCAAGGTTGAAATGAATTTTAAAATGTTAAAGACAGCTAGAAAGAAAGGGCAGGTCATCTACAAAACGAACCCTATCGGGCTAACAGCAGAACTTTCAACAGGAGCCTGACAAGCCAGAAGAGCTTTGGGCCTATATTCAGCATTCTTAAAAAAAATAATTTTCAATCAATTATTTCATATACAGTCAAACAAATCTTCATAAATGAAAAAAGAAATGAGGTCCCTTTTAGACAAACAGATGCTGAGGGAATTTGTTACCACCAGACCTGCCTTATAAGAGATACTGAAAATTATGGAAAGGAAAGAACATTACCAGACACTACAAAAACACAAGTAAGTACACAGAATAGTGACACTATAAAGCAACCACACAAACAAGTCTGCATAATAATCGGCTAACAACACAATGACAGTATCAAATCTGCAGATGTCAATATTAACCTTTAATGTAAACAGACTACACACTCCACTTAAAAGGCACAGAGTGGCAAGCTGGATAAAGAAGCAAGACCCAATGGTATACTGTCTTCAAGAGACCTATCTCACATGCAATGACACCCATTAGCTCAAAATAAAGAGACAAAGAAAAATCTACCAAACAAACAGAAAGCAGAAATAAAAAACAGAGGGTGCCATCCTAATTTCAGACAAAACAGACTTTAAACCAACAAAGAGTTAAAAAGACAAAGAAGGGCATTTCATAATGGTAAAGGCTTTGATTTAACAAGAAGACCTAAATATCTTGAATATATACACACACAACACAGGTGCACCTACACTCATAAAACAAGTTCTCAGAGACCCACAAAGAGACTTAGATTCACATACAATAATAGCGGGAGACTTCAACACCACACTGGCAGTATTAGATTGATCATTGAGGCAAAAGAAATAGCAAAGATATTCAGGACCTGCACTCAATACTTGACCAGATGGACCTAATGAACATTTACAGAACTCTCCACCTAAAACCACGGAACACACATTCTTCTTATTGCCACATAGCATACACTCTAAAATTGACCACACAATCAGATATAAAACAATCCTCAGCAAATTCAAGAAAACAGAATCATACTAGCCACCTTCTCAGAACATAGTGCAATAAAAGTATAAATCCATAGTAAGAAAATGGCTCCAACCATACAGTTACATGGAAATTAAACAACCTTCTCCTGAATGACTTTTGGGTGAATAATGAAGGCAGAAATAGAGAAATTCTTTGAAACTAATGAGAACAAAGATAAAATACATCAGAATCTCTGGGACATTGCTAAGTCAGTCTTAAGAGAGAGATTTGTAGCACTAAACACTCACATCAAAAAATTTAAAAGATCTCACATTAACAACCTAACATCACAACTAGAACTAGAAAAACAAGAACAATCAATCCACAAGTTAGCAGGACACAAGAAATAACCAATATCAGAGCTAAACTAAAAGAAATTGAGATGTAAAAAAAAACAGACAAAAGATCAACAAAGCCAGGAGTTCACCTATTGAAAAAATCAATAAGAGAGATTGCTAGATAGACTAAAAAAAGAGACAAGATCTAAATAAACACAATTAGAAATGACAAAGGGAAATTACCACTGACCCCACAGAAATACAACAATCCTTCAGAGACTACTATAATCAACACTATGCACACAAGCTATAAAACCTAGAAGAAGTGGATAAATTCCTAGAAACATATAACCTCTGAAGACTAACCCAGGAGGAAATTGAGTATCTAAATAGACCAATAACAAGTTCTGAAATTGAATCGGTAAGGAAAAGTCTACCAACTAAAAGTAGCCCATGACCAGATGGATTCACAGCCAAATGCTATCAGATGCATAAAGAAGGGTTGGTACCATTCCTACTGAAACTATTCCAAAATTTGAGGAGGAGGGACTCCTCTCCAATTCATTCTATGAGGTTAGCATCATCCTGATACCAAAAGGCAGAGACACAACAAAAAAAGAAAACTTCAGGTGGTTATTCTTGATGAACACAGGTGCAAAAATCCTCAACAAAATACAAGTAAACAAAATCCAGCAGTACATCAAAAACCTCATTCAACACAGTCAAGTAGGCTTTATCTCTGGAATACAAGATTACATACACAAAGCAATAAATGTGATTCATCACATAAACAGAACTAAAATCAAATGCTACATAATCATCTCAATCGATGCAGAAACAGCTTCCAATAAAATGCAACATCCCTTCATGTTAAAAACGCTAAATACGCTAGACATTGAATGAACACACTTCAAAATAATAAGAACCATCTCCAGTAAACCCACAGCCAATATCATACCTTATGGACAAAAGCTAGAAGCACTCCCCTTGAAAACTGGAACAAGGAAAGGATGGCCTCTCTTACCATTGCTATTCAACAGAGTACTAGAAATCCTGGCCAGAGGAATCAGGCAAGATAAAGAAGTAAAAGGCATCCAAGTAGGAAAAGAGAAAGTCAAAATATCCCTTTTTGCAGATGACAAAATCCTATACTTAGAAAAACCCATAGTCTCTGCAGAAAAGCTCTTTGATCTCATAAACAGCTTCAGCAAAGTTTCAGGATACAAAATCAATATACAAAAATCAGTACACATTCCTATAAACCAACAACATCCAAGCTGAGAGTCAAAACAGGAATGTAATTCCATTCACAACTGCCACAGAAATTGACAAAAAGATTTCTTGTATTCATCAAGGTTGGAAATCACCATACAACATTTTTTTCTAGAGCAGACTCTTTGTGGGATGAGAAGGTTTTCTTAGAATATAGTATGTTTTGTATATTGTCTCTTATGTGACAGGCACTGTGTACATCACTTTGGATCCATTTTTCTCATAATCTTCAAATCAAAATAGTGAGGCAATCATTTCATTTTTTAAATGAGGAAACTGAAGCTTGGAGAGGTTAGGCAGTCACAGAGAGGCTAACCAAGGAGGTAGTTATTGTAGATAATTCCTATCTACAATAAGAATTACAAAACACTGCTCAAAGAAAT